ACACACCAAGCAGGTGCTTGAGTAGAGTCCGGATGGGAAATGATGACTTGGGCGTCTAAGGAAGACATGGAGGCGATCATGTGAGGAGGAGGTGAAAACTTATGGGAAAACGTGTAGTGAGCTGGAGGTGACTCTGGGGTACTGGATTAAATAGTGATATGCTGCTGAAGCTCTATGTTCCAGTCGAAAACCGATGGGATAATAATTATATTATTATCTAAGTTGCAAGTTTTATCTTACTTACTTCCACGTTAGGATAAGTCAATCAATGAGTTTGCAAAGGTGAGTCGATTGACACATGAGATATATACCCATCCACCGCGTTCCTCGACGGGTAATACTGTAACAACAGAAGACAAGGGCCAGGCAACAGATCGTTTATTAATGAAATCAACACATATTTATAGATTTTCACTTACATTATTCTAGATTATTGTTAGCAGAAAAACAGTCTTCTGATTGGTTGTTTTTCACGGAAAGTAAACCTAGCATCTCTTTGTGGCTGTTTCTTGAATATCAGATCATCTATATGTTAACTGTATCCGCCTACACAAAGCCTTTGTTCATATTTTTCTCACGACCAATATTGGGGACATAAACATTGACGTAAATTGCTAACCACCAATTTCGACTAACAGCTCTCACTTCAATATTAGCTGACGTAGAATTAGTTTGGAAAAGAGTTAGGCATAGCCAAACCAAAACCTGGCTTGAAGCCATGGAATCTTTGATAGTTGGTTTGAACCACGCATGAAGGTGTGGGCTGCGTGGTTGGTGTCTTCAGAATGCCAAAAACCAGCGGTTGGAGACTGTTGGTTGAATAGGGTAGATGTATACACTATTTGTGTTCTCCCATAACTCCAGAAAACTGTCACATCTCTCTATGTCGTTATTCTTTCTCCCTCACGTTTTTTATTACAGTTCTTTTAACTCCTTTTTATGTCATTTGTCTACCTTTGTGTGCTACGAGGAGTGTGGCGAATTCAACTTTTACTCACTTCTGTGTCAAAACTCGGTCATGATGCTTCGTACTTTGAAAGATAAGTCACAACTTGTTGAATTGTGTAATTACCCAAATATGTTTTTATTACCTTATGAAATACTGCATAACATTTTTTTCATATCTGCGCTCAATATTTATTCTCTTCTATAATAAAACATTAGTGGTGTAATTTTAAAAGTGTTTCGATAATAAGTGATTTCTTTGCAGTAAGTGTTACAAAGAAACTGTATACTAATTCAAGTCGGTTATGCAACTGTCTTTCAAGGACCCAACACCATTGAACTTCGAAAAGGTATATTCGCAAAACAATTATGTGATTTAGCATTTTTGGATTTTGATACAGTTGGTTAGGTTGGATGTTTTTTTTCTATTTTCAGCTTCTGTACTAAAAAAATGCCTCCCCGTTTGTTCCTTTGTTTAACATAACTGACCAAAGACAGCTTTTTAAAAGGATAAAATTTACCTTTATATTTGTGTATATGCCATGGAATGTAACTATAAATAATTTACTGAGCTTTATAGTATTTCTCTTTCATGCGCTTATTTTCAATCATTAAGAGAAAATTAAATAATTGTTGCATCTAGGATTCTGAAAACCAGAGTAACGACCGTTCATAAAATGAGTTCTCACATTCACGAAGCCAAAGATCAGTGGTATATATATACTTATAGATACTGCTGTCAGATGGTTGGAGGTAATCGGCTAGGTAGCCTTGGACGTAGGTTTAGTGCTTGTTGACACTCGTTACCAAGGTGAATAGCTCAGTGGTAATGTCTTTAATTGCGGTAATTGGTGATCCGGGTTCAAAATTCAGAAGGGGGCATGAGTTCCTTGGAGATTTTAGATACGCCACGCTGACAATTGAGTGGCAACTGGTACGAAATCTAGGTAAAGCAAGGCTTCCTGCAGATTGTCTCCAACCATCTAGCATCAGCAATTTGAAGTACAGCGTGATAACGAGCTACCTAGAATGGTGGCCACATTGCAAACCTGAATGATAGAATTCAGTCTACACCAAACACATGAACACACACATCAAACTAGTTAATAGTGTCCAATCAAGGTACATATATTAGTGTTATTCTCACCAGAGAAATTATCAAGAACCGTTAATTATGCATATTATAATTAGGCAACGTCATCAGTAATATCTGTGATTCCGTTACTGGGTGACCCTTGTTCAAATAACAAAACGGCATGAGTTCCTTCAAGACTGCTGATAGACTCTGCTGATTAGTGCTGGCCTAGGTTCAGAGCTTTCAGCCGATTTTCCACAACCATCTAAGAGCAACATGTACTACTAATTTCGTGAGAAATGAACTCTGAAGTTCTCAGAGTGCATATTTCAGTGTGTATAATAAGATTTTATAGGTAGCCCACTTTTCATTTATCCACATTTTTCATCTTCAATACACTAGGCATATAACATAATAAATTGAAGTCATATATAAGTATTATCATTATTCTGCTTCTGTTTAGCTCCAACCCGGGGGCTAAACTTTCTTCTTATAATACCCACTGGTCTTCAGTGATATATTATACAGTGTCAATTCATTATAAACTCTCAGAAGAGTTGATATAACCATAAACGTATTTAATTATGTAACGCAGAGATACATCACTAATAACTGTGTGACTTCTTCAATTTGTAGCTCATAGCTATATCACAGTATTCATATAACGTCCTAGGTTGCTTTATAAAGAAATATATCCTCCTGTTATTGATACGGTATGTGTTGGTTGTTGTCTAAATGGCCAAATATTTAGTGACTGAAATCTTCTTTCATTCACCTTTACTGCCCTTTAGATACATATAATCTGCCTCACCCAACTGTATAAATACTTTGCAACTAGATACATAGTAATATCTGTTTATTTTCGAAATTATGTTTCTCAGTTTGTCTACCATCCTAAATTAATAGACCTCATCCCGATCTACTAGCCTGGCTAGTGTATTTGGCTTCATAGCATTTATTAAGTTGAATTATTTAGTTTAATTAAGTCAGTGGGATCCATAAACCCAGCAAATTTGTCTCTGACTGAGTCTGTGCGTTTAAATACCACTCAAATTCCAGTCTTAATAAGAGTCCTACACGGGGTTTCGGAAGTCCTCCCCCTACAGGCTAGGCTTAAATCCATTTTTAGTCATAATGTAATTATTGTGACAGCTAATTTCTTATTGGTCCTTATAAAATATCATATAAAGCGCAGGATAGTTATTTCAAATTGTAACTCCTGTCTTGTCTATATTGCAAATATATTTTCCATATAATTATTATTATATCCGTTAACATATCAATAACTTTAAAACTAACGGCTGTGAAAAGTGTAAAGCGATCAAAGAGACTGAACAAATCGGGAGTTATATAGCCTCAGTATAGGGTTTCTCATCTCTAATCAGAAGTGCCATATATAAAAATTATTATTATATCCTTTAGTTCCTAGAGGAACATAGGGGTTCAGCTGCGCGCCTCCATTGCCTTCTATTTTCTGCCAACTTTTTCACCCCGCTCCAAGTCTGCCCACATGCTTTCACCTCCTCTTCACATGACCTCATCCAAGTCACCCTCACATTGACGACCAACTCCCGCTTCCCTTTCGGGTTCCACTCGAGCAATGGCTTGTCTACTGATGTCACTTGATGGTTTCCTCAGAGTATTCTCAACCAATCCATCTCCATTTCTTCCTGCATATTTGTTTCATAATCGGTTCCTGCTGGGTTGGTTCGGTCCCTGGTCCAAAGGTCCCTGTTACTGATCTTTTCTAGCCGGCCATGTGATCTTGAATATTGAGCGAAGACAACTCTTAATGAAGGTCTGTAGTTTGTTTGAGATGCTGTTAATGACGCGCTGGCCAAGTCTCTGATCCGCATAGAAAGTAGCACTGACTTCACATTGGAGTTGAAATCCGGATCTTATTTTTGATTCTGAGTGGGGCTGTTGACCTCCCCACAGACCTAAGAGTAATGGAAGCTTGTCTCGCTTTTCAGATTCTGGCTTTGATATCCTCGTCATTTCTGTCCGCCTGTAGTTGAAACGATGCTTCCCAGGTAGGTAGGTAGGTAGGTAGGTAAAGGAGGTTGTTTCTTTCAGGTTCCTCCCATTTATGCAGGCTGATTGTTGTCTGTTGTTGTTGTTACTGCTGTTGCTGTTGGTGTTGGCCAGGAATCTTCATCACCTCTGTTTTCTCTATGTTTACCTGAAGGAAGTCCTATCTTCTCTGGATGCTTGTTCTGCCAACTTGTTGCTTTTCACTTCCATATCTTCCAGTTTGTGGGAAATCAGACATATATCTTCCATATTAAATCCATTATATCTCAGAAGTTCCCGAATATCTATTAAATTTCCGCTACTACTGTCATTGGCGATTTCACTGCCAATCTGATTATCCATGTATATATATATATATATATATATATATATATATATATATATATATATATATATATATATATATATATATATATATATATATATATATATATATGTAAATTCGAACACCTTAGAAGTTATTTCCCTAACCAATAACTTAATTCTGTGTATGATTCCAAGATCAGTATGCAACTTCCTAATAAGTATTTCTAAAGTTTTACTAAGTGCAACTTTAGTGTTTAAGCTTTCCACATCAAAATTAACCATTTTTCTCATCTTTTTCTTATTTGAATATCTCCCAGGCTTTGTTTTATCTCATGTGAAATAACTAGTCTAGAGTCCTAGTGGTTTCTAACAAAACAAGACTTTACCAGTGATTCTTCCAGGATTATGAGATTAGGAAAATAATTTAACCCTACTCACCTGATGACCAGTTTGGTTGCTCAGAATAACTAACCGATTGATGAGTGTTGGATATTGTCAAAAGCACCCATCTTTGGAAAGTTCTCAAATATGTATTAGACTACTTAAACAAGATTTTAGTAGTGCAATCACTAATCCTAAAAAAGACCGAGTGTTTGTGCACTAGTATCCGAGGTAAAATAGGAAATAAATACGTGATGGTGAGGAGATAGCCTTTCAAAATATTAGATTATATTCAAACTAAAATAGACTTACGAGAAAAAACAAACATATATGAATGTCAACTTGTTATCTTTAGTTAGCTCTTCATTGTGATACTCTAATAACAAGAAGAAGAAGATATGATACAACAAAACAACAAAATATATAACAAGCTCTTGAAAAGAAAACAAAAAAAGGAGAAAATCAAAAGTGATCCTTTAGAAGTTATGCTATTATTTATAAGAATGCTGCGAAAAACAAAAAATAGTGAAATTAGTTGAAATTAAAAAGACTGTGAAGGTTGTGAATCATGTTTACTTTATATCTTGTTGCTTGAGAAACAGGGATATGAAAGATTTTACTGAATTTTCATCATTTCGTGATATAGTTACAATTTTTTTTCTTTGATAACCACATGTTGGCGACTTTTGAATTCGATGTGCTTTTATTCTGGTTAATATCTAAAAGGATGATAAAACAGGTGAGTCAATATTGATTTGTAGTAATAATATTTTAAGCATAATATAACCTATTTAGGCTTTTCGACTACTGCGCCACATTTCCCTACTTTCATAAAAACTATCGTTTCTGTAGAATTTCATGCCAAGAGTTTGTGGAAGATATTAGAGTTATTTACCTTTCGAACAGTAAAACTGTGGATATAATCTTATTGACAGATAATACCTATAACTAACTGTTTGGATTTGTGAAATTTTTAACATAAAGTCATATCTAAAACTGTATATATTGTTGGATTTATACTTTCAAGATATTCCAAGGCCGTGAGTCTGTGGTTTTGCTATTATTTTAGTTAACTGTGCTGAACTATATTGCATGTTGTTTTATTGTATTGTTGTTGTCGCTTTTTGCCCTTTTTGCTATGAATTGTTTTCCGTTTCCTGGTGTTGTTCTGACTGTTTTATCTCCTGTAATCCGATTTTAAGGGGAGCAACACAAAAGGTCGCTTCGCTCTAATCTTTATATTAATGTACCCATCCGTTTCTCAGGCGTGAAGCTAGCATCCCATCCTGTAAACGAAATTGCTACACAAACTTCAGCACGATGAACCTCTTTGCACCAAAAGAAAAAGTCTGTGTGGGGACATGGAACGTCCTCACTATGTACGAGACTGGGAAAGCTGCCCAGATCGCAAACGAGATGAAAAGATACGGAATCCAAGTGCTGGGAATATGTGAAAGCAGATGGAATGGGAGTGGACTCACCAAATTGTCAACGGGTGAGTCAGTGATCTACTCCGGTCACCCAGAAGATAACCACACGCACACCGAGGGCGTGGCTATCATGATGTCACCAGCAGCAACAAAGGCCCTGATGCAATGGGAGGCGATCTCGTCCAGGATAATGACCGCCAGATTCAACTCCAAAGGAAGGAAAGTGTCAATCATACAATGTTATGCACCCACAAACAACGCAGACCTCGAAAAGAAAGAAGAATTCTACAGACAACTACAGGCAACAATGGACAATACTCCAGCTGGCGACATGAAAATACTAATGGGAGACATGAACGCCAAACTGGGACCAGACAACACAGGAAGGGAACTCATCATGGGTAGAGAAGCTCTCGGAGAAATGAATGAAAATGGAGAACTCTTCGCCGACTTCTGCGCCTTCAACGAACTAGTGATTGGTGGCAGTGTATACAAACACAAAGATATCCACAAGGCTACATGGGTGTCACCAGATGGGCAAACCAAAAACCAAATTGACTTCATCTCAATTCTCAAGGAAGTGGAGGCGCAGCCTACTGGACACAAAAGCAAGAAGAGGAGCAGACGTTGGCTCAGACCACTATCTCGTACAAGGGACAATCCAAATCAAATTAAAAGCTTTCAGGGAAACAGGAGCTGCAGATAGACCACAAGCCAAGTTCAACACTCAAAAGCTGAAGGACCAGGCTACAAAGGACATCTTCATTGCAAGCATAAAGGACAAAGCCGAGACACAAATCAACACCAGCGAAAAGGTCAGCGTCGAAAAGCACTGGGACAACTTGAAAACGGTGTGGAGTCAAACCTGCATGGAAGTTCTAGGCAGAAAGAAGAGACAGGACAAACAGTGGCTCACTACGGACACTTGGAAACTAATAGAAGAGAGAAGGACAGTGAAACAAAAGATTATCCAGTGCACTGACGAGCAACAAAAACAGGAGCTGAATGCAAGCTACAATACACTGAACAAAAGAGTGAAGAAGAGTGCCAGGGAAGACAAAAGAAAATATTATGAAACCATGGCAAACGAAGCAGAACAAGCTGCAGGCAAAGGAGACCTCGCCACACTCTACCAAACAACTAGGCACCTATTGGGCAAAAGTTCGACACAGATTAAGCCAATAAAGGATGACAATGGAAAGTCAATCACCAAAGAGGTGGAACAAAGAAAACACTGGGCTGAACACTTCAAAAGACTTCTAAATCGACTGCCACCTACAACGCCCCAACAATACCAACAACGGAAGCAGAACTACCAGTGAACATGACCCCCGACGAAATCAGAAGTCCTGAATGCAATCAAGATGCTAAAAGCTGGAAAAGCAGCAGGACCAGATGGAATCCCAGCAGAAGCTTTGAAAATAGACCCAGAGACAACAGCGGACTTGATGACACCACTGCTGGAGAAGGTGTGGAAAGAGGGCAAAGTACCCGAGGATTGGAAGAAAGGATACTTATTCAAACTACCAAAGAAAGGAGACTTAAGTCAATGTAAAAACTGGCGTGGAATTATGCTTCTGTCCATTCCAAGCAAAATACTAAGCCGCATCATCCTGGAGAGAATCAAACAAGCCCTAGATGAAAAACTTCGACCGGAACAGGCCGGATTCAGGAGAAACAAATCATGTATTGATCAAATCGCCACTCTACGGATCATCATTGAACAAAGCTTGGAATGGCAGTCACCTCTCCACTCACTCAACTTCATCGACTTTGAAAAGGCCTTCCAGACAGCGTCGATCGAGAGGTGATTTGGCAACTACTTCGCTACTACGGGGTCCCATCGACAATTATACATCTCATCCAACAGTTATACGACAATGCTGCATGCCAAGTAATCCACAACGGGAAACTTACGGAAGCCTTCGAAGTGAGGACGGGAGTGAGGCAAGGCTGTCTTCTATCACCAATGATCTTCCTGATTGCAGTAGATTGGATAATGCGACAAACAACGGGCAATGAGGAAACAGGCATAAAATGGACTCACACAAAACACTTGGAGGATCTGGACTTTGCCGATGATATATGTCTGATTTCCCACAAACTGGAAGATATGCAAGTGAAAAGCAACAAGTTGGCAGAACAAGCATCCAGAGAAGATAGGACTTCCTTCAGGTAAACATAGAGAAAACAGAGGTGATGAAGATTCCTGGCCAACACCAACAGCAACAGCAAACAACAACAACAGACAACAATCAGCCTGCATAAATGGGAGGAACCTGAAAGAAACAACCTCCTTTACCTACCTACCTACCTACCTACCTGGGAAGCATCGTTTCAACTACAGGCGGACAGAAATGACGAGGATATCAAAGCCAGAATCGGAGAAGCGAGACAAGCTTCCATTACTCTTAGGTCTGTGTGGAGGTCAACAGCCCCACTCAGAATCAAAAATAAGATCCGGATTTCAACTCCAATGTGAAGTCAGTGCTACTTTCTATGCGGATCAGAGACTTGGCCAGCGCGTCATTAACAGCATCTCAAACAAACTACAGACCTTCATTAAGAGTTGTCTTCGCTCAATATTCAAGATCACATGGCCGGCTAGAAAAGATCAGTAACAGGGACCTTTGGACCAGGGACCGGACCAACCCAGCAGGAACCGATTATGAAACAAATATGCAGGAAGAAATGGAGATGGATTGGTTGAGAATACTCTGAGGAAACCATCAAGTGACATCAGTAGACAAGCCATTGCTCGAGTGGAACCCGAAAGGGAAGCGGGAGTTGGTCGTCAATGTGAGGGTGACTTGGATGAGGTCATGTGAAGAGGAGGTGAAAGCATGTGGGCAGACTTGGAGCGGGGTGAAAAAGTTGGCAGAAAATAGAAGGCAATGGAGGCGTGCAGATGAAGCCCTATTTTCCTCTAGGAATTAACGTATATAATAATGATACTAACCTCATGATCAATAAAATTTTATCGTGATAATATCACACAGTGTTATGCAGTAATATTTACTAATGATCACTTTTCAAGCACAAATTATGGCTCATAGTGCTATCAAGGCCTATGCACAACTTTGTTGTTTCAATTATATACATGAATATTAATTGATTAGACTTGTGAATACAATCAATATAAGATAAAGTACATTCGGAAATAATATTCGTGTTATCAATAAAGTACAATAAGATGGGAAATAAGATGTTATTTATGGTAAAATATATAACTTGTTAGAGTGTTATCACAGGACCCTACGTAGGATTCTCAATAAAGCAGGAATTATAGTGACATTCAAACTTACAAACTCACTCAGAGACAAGCTCTCTAGGCTAAAGGACTCTTTGGACCTATTAAGATAAAATAATATAATTTACAAAATACCCTTTGATGACTGTGAATCAAGTCAACTACATAGGTCAAACGAGTAAATAAGGAGCATTGAGATTATCAGAACATGAGAATTTAGCTGAGGTTAGAATGATTGATCCGAAGAAGATAAGCAATTTAGATAAAAACTCAGCAGTCGCACCGCATGCATTAACACACAACCACTCAGTAGGGTGGGTGGGACAGAATCAAAATTCTAAAAAGTAATATAGGTTGCTGAAGAGAGAAAGGTTGATTACTAAATCCTAGTTCATCGAGTCTAAACACAACACATGCAATAGAAGTGGCTCAACACAAATATTAGCGATGTATAAGATATTATTACCAGTCAAGTCAGACGATGATAAATAATGTTAAAATGCATTTCAGCTCACATTATGACATTCTAAGAAGTTATTTATTTTTACTATGAAAACATGTTATTTTCCATTTTAGTGTATTTGATTGATAACATTAATATTATTTTCGAATGTGCATTATATTATATTGATTTTTTATTCAAATGTCTAATCAGTTTTTACTCGTGTATATAAATGAAGAAAGGAAGCTGTGTGAGACATACCTTGATATGATTATGAACAATAAATTGTTCTCGAAATGTCGTCGTCAGTAAATATCACTGTATAACACTGTGATTTTATCAAAATAAATTTTATACATAATGCAGTTATACCCTACCACAGTGCTTATCCTTATAGCTATAATATAACCTACTAAAATACGAATAAGTGTCGTCGATACACTAAGTTATCAAATTTTATTTTGGAAGGAGAGATGAGCTACCATAACCTCTTCCCGAAAAAAATACATATATATGAGTCAGTATTCTTAGAGAATGACCCAGATTTAAGGACTGGCCGGTCTGCGACTATGCATCAGAATGTATTGAATGTCGTCGAATAAGCCTGTGTACCCGAATTATTAATTCGCTGTTGAATTTTTCTAGCTTTTATCAGGTCACCGTTCGTATTGGCCGTAGAGGTAAATCAGGCCATAATGCAGAATACAGTTCTGTTTGGTCGACAGTATTTAGTGGTATTTAGTATGATAGTTTCTGTAGACTTAAACGTATCCCTCTTTGGAGGAACACACTGTAACACAAAGCTACAATTGTTGATAAGAAAAGACTTTCTACCGTTTAAAACAACCATTTCTCTAATCTTTTTATACGAATTTATTGTCCGGTTGTAGTGGTTCTGGATATTTAAAGTCAGAACTTTTGGCAGTGTGTTAAAGTAAATTATATGTTGCTTAAAATATAAGTCACAGTTTTATAACTACAATAATAATAATAATACTATTATTCCCTTAGATTACGAGCGGAATATAGGGCTTCAACAGGACATCTCCACTTCATCCTCTTCCAAACACTCTTTTTTAGCTAGCTTCACGATTGTCCACAAGCTTTCATCTGCTCCGCATCCCCCTCGGACGCCCAATCTGTTGCTTTTCATTCTCGTCCTACTCTACGGCTTGGCTCAAGACGTCACTCACTGATCTCTTTAGCATAGGTCTCACCCATCTCCATTTTCTTCTTTATATTTGTTGGTCAGTAGGTTCTTGGTTGATTGATTTCCAAATTTCCTTGTTGATTATCCTTCACAATAAGCCATCCAATTTCCAGTATAGAGCGAAGACAGCTGCTGATGGCAGCCTGCGGCCATTTTTGAATTTTATTTCAGTAGTGTACAAACAATCATCATTTTTGTTTTGGTAATATTTTGAACACAGTTACTACCCGTGACCAAACCAACTGTTGGAATAGATTTTTCAGTATTACCAAAAACAAAAAAATTATCATTGTTTGTAAACTACTGAGATACAATTATAATTAATTTTGATCTATTCCACAATTCACAAACGTTTCATTGACATTAAGTATTCAGCTAGTCTCTGAACAATATAGAAGAACTGACTTAAAATTAGCGTTGAAAATCTGAATCTTTTCTCTTATCCTGAATGCAGCTGACTTCCACACTGATTGTATATTAATGCAGGTCCGTCTGCCCTTTCAAGTTCTGATAGCCTTTGAAATCTCACCCTTTCCGCCTGTAGATGAAATGGTACTTCCTGGATAAGTCAAAGAATTGACTTCCAACTGATGCTAACTGGTACTTGTTGCCGTTGCTTAATTGATATCTCCATAACTTTTGTCTTCCCCATATTCACTTAAAGTCCTGTCTTCCATGTTTTATATTATCCATTTTCCTAACCTGTTTTACTGACGCTGTTTCTGCAGGAATATTAGACTGATTGTTCCCCAAATAATCAGTTTCTTTAACTCGTAATAATTTAACAACTTACGTCATTCTGCGATTATGATAATGTTTTTTTTCCCATTCATTCGTGTTCTCAGTAGGACCCAGGGTTTCACTTTTGAGCATTAAAGTTTCACCAAGTGGTTATTTTATTTTTACTGAGTGGGGTTGCTAGATTTATGCTGAACAATACCTCTTTATGGGACCGACTACCGACTAAGAGAGGCTTAAGAGTGCGTCGGCCAAGAATTGAACCTGCATCACTTGCGTGGTTGAACCAACACACAATGTTACCTGTAGTTTCTATTAGTCACTCTTTTTCATATCGAAAAACATTATGTCCAAATCGTTTTGGCAATTTATATTTCTGTATTGTTTAGGGCTTGTAGGCAGTTTAAAAAAAATCAGCGAAATAATGGATAGAGTGTAGTCCATAGGGTTTCAGACGATCTTCTTAACTAAAACTAACTTATTTCCAAATAAAGTAAATCCAATATCTTAATTGCAATTAGTAAATAGTTTCAATTTTTATTATGAATTTTTGCACCTGGTGAATGAGAAATCAATTAATAGGCAGTTTTTATGAAGTCCATCTCGAATTTGTAGAAAATTCGCAAGGGGTAAAATTTTTTACTGATACAAAGAAACATTTTTTAATTACCTTAGATTTGGTTCATTTCTTTGATTCGACGGGAGGTTTCTTTTTATAGGATACACATTATTTTCCAGTGTTCCTCCAATCTAATTGAAATAAAATAATATACACAAAGAGATTGATTTTTATAAAATTAAAAAGGAAGTCACATTATTATGCATGAACGCCATCATAATTAGCTGCTTAAGCATGTAAAATGCACGGTTAGGGCTTCTAAAGTTGTACAGATTAAGGCCTTATAAACATCTATTTTGAAATCTAGTAAAAGTCACTGACTAAGTCGTGAGTGCACTAGTGGTTCAGTAGCAGAGCACCTGCCAACCACGGATGCGGTCCGGAGTTCGATTTTCGTCCATAACATTCTAAAGCCTTGCCTAGGCAACACTAGGCTCGACAAAAGGGTTAGGTTAGGCTTTAATAGATACACTACTTCTACTGGAACTTCAAAACTCGTGCTTGAAGCCCTGTGTTTTACTCGAAATGCAAAGGACTGAAATAAATAAACATAAAAAAATTGGCGGTGCATTTAAAGTAGAGCTCTACATTCTTCAGGTCTGTAGCAGCATAGATCTATCTATATCATAGGTGAAATGCATATATTATGTTAAAATAAATAGCATATGTGAGGTGTCTGGTATCTTGTACTTGGAATCCGTGTATTGCAGAGTAAGATACACTCTATTTTATTGCCGGATGTTGAATGTATGGAGTAGTTGATGGGATTAATGGATTTGAACTTGCTTCAGAGGCTCTAACACTGTCTATATTCTAATCACAAGTTGGGTTCGGAAGATTTGATAGCTGATATTAATTGATCGTCAGATGGTTTGACGCCACAAGCATAACCGGCTAATTAACCTGTCCAACGAGTGTTGGACAAGAGGTTTGCCATTTTTACATCACGCATTAAATTCAAATATGTTCATAAGTAACAGGGTTTCATCATGGGCTGACATTAGTTAGAGAACCATTGGAAAACCTGGGAGTACTGGTTTATGTTTCGTCCTAGTTTGGGACTCTTCATCAGTACGCACACACCGGCGTTCAAACCCAGGACGTTCTGGTTACAAGGCGAGCTTGTATACCATTAAGCCACTGGGATACGATACATTGGCGAATTCATGAATTCTAACTTCTGCCAATTCACGATAAAGAGCGACCCCTAGCCAATGTCTTCGGCCAGTATTGGTCCTCACACCCGACCTGCTGCGCCCTACTGGTTACGACTTTCCACTATATCGTGAACTGGCAGAAGTTAGAATTCATGGGCTGGCGATTGGATCGGATCTCAGTAGCTCATTGGTCTGCGAGCTCGCCTTGTAACCAGTAGGTTCTGGGTTCGAACGCCGATGGGTGCGTACTGATGAAGAGTCCCAGGCTAGGACGAAACAGTCGTCCACTACACCTAGGTTTTCCAATGGTTCTCCAACTGATATCAGCTTATGATGAAATCCTGTAACCAATCAACCGAATCCCTACAAACCAATACTTGTATGTTCATAAGTGTTTTTGAATCAAACTCATCTGCCTGGAAATCAATTATGGCCGTAAATGCTCCAGACAGTTATAAGCAACAATTACGCGAAACGCTAAGGTAGCCAACCGAATGAAAAGAAAGGCTATCATAAGCTTACATATAAGAAGGATATCTTCAGTATGTAATTATGCAGGTTAATTCATTGTGAAGCACACAGAATCCTAAAATTGGGCTATGACAACTAGCCTTAATTGTAATCGAATGCTTCACAATGAATTCGGATAGATAAAACAGAGTTAAAATATAAACCAAAAGAGGTATGGATTTATAAATATTCTGAAGTGGAATATATTTTGGTCTGTTAGTAATAAATCGATTGTGTAGAGAAATAGAAAACTAAATCTGATTACTTCTTAGGTCAATCATACAGACTATATTAACAGACTAGGGTGAGACAGATTTTTGCACACTTCAATTCATTTTAGATGAGGTCATTTATATGTATATATATTTAAGCATCTGGTGATTTAATCGAAAATAATACAGAATAGTGTGGTTTTATGTTCAGAAAAACACTGAGGGAAATTTCCCAATGTTTCAGAAACTTCAGCACGATGAACCTCTTTGCACCAAAAGAAAAAGTCTGTGTGGGACATGGAACGTCCGAACTATGTACGAGACTGGGAAAGCTGCCCAAATCGCAAACGAGATGAAAAGATACGGAATCCAAGTGCTGGGAATATGTGAAAGCAGATGGAATGGGAGTGGACTCACCAAATTGTCAACGGGTGAGTCAGTGATCTACTCCGGTCACCCAGAAGATAACCACACGCACACCGAGGGCGTGGCTATCATGATGTCACCAGCAGACACAAAGGCCCTGATGCAATGGGAGGCGATCTTATCCAGGATAATGACCGCCAGATTCAACTCCAAAGGAAGGAAAGTGTCAATCATACAATGTTATGCACCCACAAACAACGCAGACCTCGAAAAGAAAGAAGAATTCTACAGACAACTACAGGCAACAATGGACAATACTCCAGCTGGTGACATGTAAATACTAATGGGAGACATGAACGCCAAACTGGGACCAGACAACACAGGAAGGGAACTCATCATGGGTAGAGAAGCCCTCGGAGAAATGAATGAAAACGGAGAACTCTTCGCCGACTTCTGCGCCTTCAACGAACTAGTGATTGGTGGCAGTGTATACAAACACAAAGATATCCACAAGGCTACATGGGTGTCACCAGATGGGCAAAACAAAAACCAAATCGACTTCATCTCAATCTGCTCAAGGAAGTGGAGGCGCAGCCTACTGGACACAAAAGTAAGAAGAGGAGCAGACGTTGGCTCAGACCACTATCTCGTACAAGGGACAATCCAAATCAAATTAAAAGCTTTCAGGGAAACAGGAGCTGCAGATAGACCACAAGCCAAGTTCAACACTCAAAAGCTGAAGGACCAGGCTACAAAGGACATCTTCATTGCAAGCATAAAGGACAAAGTCGAGACACAAATCAACACCAGCGAAAAGGTCAGCGTCGAAAAGCACTGGAACAACTTGAAAACGGTGTGGAGTCAAACCTGCATGGAAGTTCTAGGCAGAAAGAAGAGACAGGACAAACAGTGGCTCACTACGGACACTTGGAAACTAATAGAAGAGAGAAGGACAGTGAAACAAAAGATTATCCAGTGCACTGACGAGCAACAAAAACAGGGGCTGAATGCAAGCTACAATACACTGAACAAAAGAGTGAAGAAGAGTGCCAGGGAAGACAAAAGAAAATATTATGAAACCATGGCAAGTGAAGCAGAACAAGCTGCAGGCAAAGGAGACCTCGCCACACTCTACCAAACAACTAGGCACCTATGGGCAAAAGTTCGACACAGATTAAGCCAGCAAAGGATGACAATGGAAAGTCAATCACCAAAGAGGTGGAACAAAGAAAACACTGGGCTGAACACTTCAAAAGACTTCTAAATCGACTGCCACCTACAACGCGCCCAGCAATACCAACAACGGAAGCAGAACTACCAGTGAACATTGACCCCCGACGAAATCAGAAGTCCTGAATGCAATCAAGATGCTAAAAGCTGGAAAAGCAGCAGGACCAGATGGAATCCCAGCAGAAGCATTGAAAATAGACCCAGAGACAACAGCGGACTTGATGACACCACTGCTGGAGAAGGTGTGGAAAGAGGGCAAAGTACCTGAGGATTGGAAGAAAGGATACTTATTCAAACTACCGAAGAAAGGAGACTTAAGTCAATGTAAAAACTGGCACAGAATAATGCTCTGTCCATTCCAAGCAAAATACTAAGCCGCATCATCCTGGAGAGAATCAAACAAGCCCTAGATGAAAAACTTCGACCGGAACAGGCCGGATTCAGGAGAAACAAATCATGTATTGATCAAATCGCCACTCTACGGATCATCATTGAACAAAGCTTAGAATGGCAGTCACCTCTCCACCTCACTCAACTTCATCGACTTTGAAAAGGCCTTCGACAGCGTCGATCGAGAGGTGATTTAGTAACTACTTCGCTACTACGGGGTCCCATCGACAATTATACATCTCATCCAACAGTTATACGACAATGCTGCATGACAAGTAATCCACAACGGGAAACTTACGGAAGCCTTCGAAGTGAGGACGGGGGTGAGGCAAGACTGTCTTCTATCACCAATGATCTTCCTGATTGCAGTAGATTGGATAATGTGACAAACAACGGCAATGAGGAAACAGGCATAAAATGGACTCACACAAAACACTTGGAGGATCTGGATTTCGCCGATGATATATGTATGTCTGATTTCCCACAAACTGGAAGATATGCAAGTGAAAAGCAACAAGTTGGCAGAAGAAGCATCCAGAGAAGATAGGTCTTCCTTCAGGTAAACATAGAGAAAACAGAGGTGATGAAGATTCCTGGCCAACACCAACAGCAACAACAACAACAGACAACAACAGCCAGCATAAATGGGAGGAACCTGAAAGAAACAACCTCCTCTACCTACCTACCTACCTACCTGGGAAGCATCGTTTCAACTACAGGCGGACAGAACTGACGAGGATATCAAAGCCAGAATCGGAAAAGCAAAACAAGCTTTCATTACTCTTAGGTCTGTGTGGAGGTCAACAGCCCCACTCAGAATCAAAAATAAGATCCGGATTTCAACTCCAATGTGAAGTCAGTGCTACTTACTATACGGATCAGAGACTTGCACTGCGCGTCATAAACAGCATCTCAAACAAACTACAGACCTTCATTAAGAGTTGTCTTCGCTCGATACTCAAGATCACATGGCCGGCTAGAAAAGATCAGTAACAGGTACCTTTGGACCAGGGACCGAACCAACCCAGCAGGAACCGATTGTGAAACAAATATGCAGGAAGAAATCGAGATGGATTGGTTGAGCATACTCTGAGGAAACCATCAAGTGACATCAGTAGACAAGCCATTGCTCGAGTGGAACCCGAAAGGGAAGCGGGAGTTGGTCGTCAATGTTAGGGTGACTTGGATGAGGTCATGTGAAGAGGAGATGAAAGCATGTGGGCAGACTTGGAGCGGGTTGAAAAAGTTGTCAGAAAATAGAAGGCAATGGAGGCGTGCAACTGAAGCCCTATGTTCCTCTAGCAACTAGAGTACCTAATAATAATATTAATGTATGGTACTTCTGATTAGAGAAGAGAAACCCTATCCTGAGGCTATATAACTCCCCATTTGTTCAGTCTCTTTAATCGCTTTTCACTTTTCACAGCAGTCAGTTTAAATATTATGGATATATGAATGACGGACAGTGAAAAATTAAACCTACATCTCTCATTTTTTTTAGTTATGTCTTTGGCACACAGTTAGTTAATTATGCTTCTGACTTCAAAGTGACTAGTCTTAGCATTTTCAACTTATTTTGTGAAATCCTAAGGAAATTTTACTCCACTCTTTTTCCTCGCTAACCTCCAGAAGCTTTAGTATTTGTCTTGGGTGAAACTTTAAGGCTTCATTCAGACTTATCTCATCACTGTCCTTTTTACTGGTTATTTTTAATGTAGGACGAGACTGTCGGAGTGATTTGTTTGAATGATTTTGAGCATTCATACAGGTAAACTTAAGTGAGGTGAGAATAATTAATCGATTTGAAAGTTAATTTTTGCCTAAAGTTTTAGGATGTCTCTATCTCTTTACGAGTTGATCAGGACCTTCCGGTCACAAGGCAAGCTCGTATACGTTTCAACCACAGGGACCTGATTCAATGGCTCGTGTCATGTGTGTGGATGGATGTCCTACCGACGACAATGGTTGGGGTCGCGCCAAATCACGAATTGGTAGAAGTTAGAATTCACGGGCTGGCCATTTAACCAATCCCAGTGGCTGAATGGTATAGGAGCTTGTCTTGTAACCGGAAGGTCCTGAGTTCGAACCCTGGTGGTGGTTGCGCACTGCCAATGATTCCCAATCTAGAATGAAACAGCAGCTGTCCTGTACTCCCTGGTCTTCAATGGTTCTCTAACTGATATCAATCCGTGATCAACTCGTTAAACCATAACTAACCCTTACAGACCAAACTATAGAAAATATCTCTATCTCATCAAAAATGTTCCATGAAATAATTGTCTGCTGAAGAAATTAAATTATAATTACAGAGCTCCAAGACTTATTCTCGAACCACATGACAACATACTCCATCAATTGAAATTGATTTATACTGCTAAAGAACCTTATCAGTTTTATGTTGTTCAACATCATACGAAAGTTATACAAAAATCCTCTGACTGCTGAATTCTGTATCTTTTGTTTCCAGGGTGTGTTGAGGCGAATGTATTCATGAATTGTTTTGGCTTCTTTTTCTCTCTTGAGACTATCATTTTATCCATTAATGTAAATGTAATCCTTTCTCGGGTACCTTTTTTCCCTTACGTTCCCAGTTGAACATAGGGCTTCAAGCTTCTAGATTGAAGTTTCGGTAGCAGTGGTGTTTATTTTTACCGGATGAGGTTGGTAGTCTCATGCCCAACCTTCCTTCGTTACCAGTCTTATTACTGACTTAGTGAGGTGGAGGAGTGAGTTTTCCGAGGATAGAACCCTGGACCATATGCGTGGTTGGCGAGCTTTCTACCACTATGCCACCGACGCACACTTTCAGTGACTTGACAGTCTTTATTTTGAAATGTAATATTAGTTTATAGCAGTAACATTTTGGTGTGATTGTACAGCATAAAATCGTGACAAGAATAATCAATTTATTTTATATACCACAAAGAAATGCAGTATTATTCATTGATAATGTTTTGTGAATGGCTTTTTTGACGATCGCGTCGTGGGACTTATGTAACTTAAAGACACTTTTTAAACAGTTTGATCATTTTCCATTATTTTAAAACAACAGTAGAGCTTCTCAGTAGACTGAATTTCGGAGAATAATACAGTATTGTCACATAAAAACCAGTACAGAGAGTGTAACGGGATAATTGTTCAGAAAATCTCTCTCGAACTATCTAACTACAATACTGGTACTTATTTGAATGTTACAACTAACTTTGTATTTATAATCCGTCTTTCTCCTACACTGTATATCACCGTACTGATATTGGTATATTATACGTTGACTTGATCCTCATTATTTGTCTCTGTCTGTGTTTAATCTCTAGTTTGAATGCTTCTCTTTGTTGTTATGTGTAAATTGGTAATGTGTTATTTTACAATATGACTTAATTTGAATGAATGACGGTGATTCTGGCCTTGGACTGTCTTTAGGAAGCGTTGGTGTATGATTCTTGTGGACAAGATTTTGAGTCCACCATGCTGAGAATAATCTGCTTGATTTGTGCTGAGAAAATTAACTTGTCTGTAGAGCTGCCTAACGGCACTGTTAAGAGCCATACAGATATAGTGATGAATAATCGTCTTTTGCCGAATCTGGAGCTTTTTGTAACCATGCATTTCTCAAGGAAGTTTTGGATAGCTATACAGTAGGAGGCAAAGTTTGGTTCTCTGCATTCAGGCAACAAAGAGTCTGTTCTGTTTACTACAGTAAGTGAGATTGAAAAACTGAAGTTAGAAACTAAATCAACTGCCTTCAGTTAGTCACAAAGCAGTCAAACTAAACGTTTGTTTTTAACCCGCTCACAAAACTAAGCTACCCACTATTGAGATCATATTATAAGTTCGAATACGACTAAAAATTTATGTTCTGAGGTACAAAGGTGAGATCTAGGAATATACAGAAAAGATTCTAATAAGATCATGAACATTGTTAGTTTTAAAAATTATATTTAAGGATATTTTGATTTGACACTAGTAACTAGTGTGATGCGTCTAGTCCCCTGATTGGTATAGACTGAATTCTATCAGTCAGGTTGTAATGTAACCACCATTCTAGCTAGCTCGCCATCACGGTGCACATTGATTAGATGGTTGGAGGCAATCGGCAAGAAGCCTTGGACCTAGGTTTCGCGCTAGTTGGCACTCGTCAGCAAGGTGTATCTGCAACCTTGAAGGAACTCATGTCTTTTCTGAGATTCGAACCCACGTCACCCAGTGCTGCAGTCAGAGACCTTGGACGGGTATCTGAGAACACTTTGCTGCTGGAATATGCTCTTTAATGCTGAAGCTATGAACAAGATTTATTATTTTATAAACAAAAAATATCTATGGTTCCTTCATATTTGACAGTAATCTTCAGTTACTCAGTGTCATATCGTCACTCTCCATATGACCGAGTAGCTTAATAACGATTGTATATAGTCGAGTGGGTTGAATTTTGTTGTAGAATTCAAGTTACAAATAAATTAGACGAATATCATATACATATATAAACATGATTCTATGACTTAATTGTTTTTGAGCTTAGATTTTTTCTAGAGGCAAACTAAATAGTCTCTTAGATAACATTTGAAGTGTGAATTCACAAAGAAATACTGTTTAAATGAGTTTCTTAATTATTTGCTGGTATAGATTCTGATAAGTTGGATAATAAAGAAATATTTAGTTAGCATAGACCAGTTGCCGAGTCTTGACATTTCAAACTACATATATCAGTGTGTGTTTATTGAAGCATATACACAGGTGGTGCGTAAAAGCGATTGTCTACACGCAGGATGACTCATTTACCGATGTGGTTAAAAGCAGCTGAAGTCGATGTTCAATAACAAAGCATCTTGTAGACCGTGGACGTGATATTGATGCTGTCAAGTCATTCACTGTTGTCAGCAGAAAAACAAACAAAAAGATGTTTACCATTACGGAATTAGCATTTATAAACCCGGTCTCTGTTTACAGAAGGAAATGATGTTTACCCTGAATCTACGGTGGTAATATGTCTTAATTATGAACTGTCATTATTATTTAACTGAATTTTAAATTTTCCCGCCGACTGATTGGACCGAAGCGCTTGGTCTCAGGTTGACATGTCAGCTTCTTGTGCAGATGCTTTTACAATGTCTGGACATGTAATTAGTAGTTAATTGGTGGATGGTGACTAGCAGTGGAATCCAGGATGCGCACTTTTGTTAAATTAATCGATGGGGAAATCTAAAAATCAATTGAATAATTCATATGACCCGTTGCATAAGAGGTGGCTCTCGTGGCCCAAGTGGTCTAGTGAATAACTCTTTGGCATTTAAAACTATGGTCACTGGGTTCGAGCTTCGGTGGGAACATCATCACTCTCTGCGGAATGCAGGCATATCAGACTAACGGGTCCTAAATAGGACGGAACGCGCATCCTGGATTCGATTGCTAGTCACCATCCACCAATTCACTGTTATTTTTATTAGTGATGTTTTATTGTACCTATTATTATTATTCTTCATTCATTTGAAACAATCCTTTATCAGCACAAATTTCTTCACTCGTTTTAATAATAATAATATTATCATTACAATTATTATTACTGTCAGTATTATTCAGTTGGAAATTCCCGATATGTTCAAGTTTGTTATCTGATAACTAATTGTTTATTGAAATAATGTAAATGAACCATAATGTACTACCATCACCAAAATTTTAGTCTCTCAAACCTCCTTCCTCTTCTCGTCCGTTTTAGTAGTATGTTAATATACATATTTGTTTAAAAAATATTTGTCTTATGCTAATAACATTTTTGTATAATATTAGCTGTTGTGCTGATCTCATTTTTCGTTCTTTATAACCAATTCAAATCATTTCGAATGACTGTAGTATTTGTAAGCAGTTACTAAAAGTTGTCCATTGTGTTAAATGTTACGTCGCAGTACAAATTATTCATCAAGGTTTGGTATTAGTAAACACGGTATATCACTCATTCTCTGATGCACAGATATATATATATATATATCATTATAGAAGGAAAAGAGGGAGATATGTGAGTGAGGACAAATACTTGCCGAAGACATTGGCTAGGGGTCGCGCTATGTCATGAATTGGCAGAAGTTAGAATTTCATGAGACATTGGATCGGGTCCCAGTGGCTTAATGGTATACGAGCTCGCCTTCTAACCAGAAGTTCCTGGGTTCGAAACCATATAAAAGGGTGCATACTGATGAAGAGTCCCAAACTAGAACGAAACAGCTGTCCAGTACTCCCTGTTGGTTTTCCAATGGTTCTCTAACTGATATCAGCTCATGATGAAATCCTGTAACCAACGAAATCCCTAGGAGCCAACACTCAAATCTTTTATCTGTTTTTCTTCACCTTGTTCTTCATCATAAACACATTTAAAGTATAAATAAAAAAGTTTATATACTTTTGTTAGTATTATAACTTAGGAATGGATTGGCGTATACTCTGTTTTAAAAAAAAGTAATCTGTTATTCTGTTAGGCGATTCTTTTGCTTTTACTTGAATAAGTTTTTGAAACTTGAAAACATCTCTGCAAAAAGTTTAAAAAACGTTTTATCACCCAGGTATGTTATTGCCATGATTATTGTTATTATGAAGTATCTTTGTAAAAATTTGCCTTCCTTCGTTAAGTTGTTTCTTGAAAATAACAAGTTATAAAATTATTATTCTTTAGTTTCAGGCAAAATAAAGTAAGCGCATGTTTAAATAATATGTTTTATATTTTCGAATTAATTCGTTCAAACACAAAAGCTAATGGATAATGTTTATATCATGTAAAA